CTCGCCTGCCCACCAATCCGCCCACATACACACACACACCCAATAAGTCCCCCGCGGCTTGCCCACACATCACACACATCCAATGTCTGAAGCACAAACTCGGCCTGCGCGAGGCAGGAGCTCTGCCCGCGGCGGCAGGGCATCATACGGCTCCCGGGGCCCCAGAAAGACCAACGGCGACAGCGCGTCCTCCAACATTGACACATCGGCAGACCAGGGCGAACTGGGCGAGCTTAAGAAGCGCTACCAGTCACAGCTATCCACACTGAAGGAGCTATTCCCCGACTGGACCGACGCCGATCTCGTCCTCGCAATCGAAGAATCTGACGGCGACCTGCAGACTACCATCGAGAAGATCAGTGAGGGTAAGCGACTGCATGCACGATTCACACGCACGTGATTACATTACTAACCACTGCAGGCGCCGTCTCACAATTCTCAGAAGTCCCAAAGAAAGCAAAGGACAGGTCCCGCTCCAAGGCTAAGGAGAACGTCCCCCTCGATGGCGCGTCCAGCCTGCGTGGCCGGCCCGACGGAGCCCGTCGTGGAGTCGACAGCGGTCGCGGCGGCCGTGGCGGACGAGGCACTGATCGTGGTCGCGGTGGAATTCGTGGCGGTCGTGGAGGCGCCGCCAGTGGACCTCGTACGGCTGCTGGATCAGTCCCGACTACCGAGTCCGCTGCATGGGACACGCCCACGGTGCCAGAAGAGTCCAAGGAGACCAAACAGGACGACGAGACCGTACACGCGCCTGAAGCGACCCCCGAAGCCATAAAGCCTGTCGTAGAGGCTACTATGACAGCCGCGAAGAAGACTTGGGCGAGCATGTTTGCTGCACCCAAGCCCGTCCCCGCAGTTCCCAAGGCAGCTCCGAAGCCCGCCGCCGCTGCTGCCCCCGAAGTGCCCTCACAAGTACCCGACGAGACGCCCGCGCACCAAGTTGCCCAAGAGCCCGCCGTGCAAGCAGAAGAACTGCCTATACCCCCAGTTGCAGATGAGGCTGTCCAGACACCGCCCATCACCGCCGAAGATACGTCCAAGATGACGCCGGACAAGAGTGTGGATGGTGCCCCTGATGTCACCCTCACACCCTCCGGAGATCAACTTACGCAAGAGAATGTTGAGCACCTGCCCGACACGTCCATCCCACCCAAGACGGAGACAGCTTTCAGCACTGTCGCAAGCTCGAAGGATGTTGGAAGTGCTGTAGCGACCCCCTTGAACGGTCCTACACAGGCACCCATCGGTCGCCCCGCTATTGGAGGATTCCAAACGACCGCACTGAAGGCGACTTCTGGAACCCCGAACCGAAGCGCAAGCTACCAGAGGAGGTTGATGGAGCAGCAGGAGGCTGTGGTCATGCCCGGAGACCGCGCCGTGGACAGGGCAGCAGTCCAATTCGGTAGCATGGGATTGGGCGACGGCTCGGATCCAGATGTCGACGAAGACAGGGAAGAGGCGGAGACGAGGACACAGCCGCCCCAGCACTCTCCCGTCGCGCAGCCCAGGGCTTCTCTCCCTCCCGCTCCCCGCCAAGCATCCCAAGATGCTCCTCAACAGGAGGCCGCTCCTACACCAAAGCAGGCCCCCGGACTGCCCCCTGTGCCCCAACATCAGCCCGGCCTACAGCAGTCTCCCTCGAACCCGCTTGCATCCCAGGCTATGCAGAACCAAGGATCTCAGTCGAACCAGCCATACAACCAGTTTGCTAGGTATGGTCAATCAGAGGCCTCCGCCCCACCGCAGAAGCCATACGATCCATTCGGGCAGCAGATCCCGCAGTCGAACCACTCCCAATCGCAAAACTATGACTACCCCGGCCAACAAAGCCAAGCCCCGTCCCAGCCTGGTGCCTTCTCGTCTGCCCCAGACGGTTACCCCTCCAACTACCTCACTGCCGAACAACGCGCGCAATACCAGAACTACTATGGAAGCTACGGTCAGCCCATTGCACAAAGCCAGCAGGAAGCTGGTTCTGCTCAGCAGCGGACTGGCAGTGCCTTTGGCTCTGGACCTACTGACTCTGCTTATTCGCAGAGTCAAATCCCACAGGTAAGTGCACTCTCTAAAGGTCTGAAACAGCTCGCCAAACTCCAAACCGATAATCATGCCGACCAATCTGAACCATCTCATGTGAATGAGAAACTCTGGGCAGAGATGGCACATGACACGGGCAGAGTAAGGACAGCAGCTAAGACGGAACTCTACATCTTCTCGCATTGTATACTGACAGAATTGTAGACCCAGAGCCGATACGGCGATGCTCAGAACAGCGGACACAACACTCCCAACCCCGCCGCCATGGCTGGCCAACAAGGACATGCCGCTCAAGGCCAGCACGCGCACAACGCGCATAACGCAGGCTACCCATACAGTCACCCGTACTATGGCAGCCCCTACTACGCTAACTACGTGAACCAATTCGGTGGTTACGGTCAGGGAGGAGCCGGCTATGGTTCGTTTGGAAAGGGTGGCATGTACAACCAGCCTCACTACGGCATGTCTCCTCAGGCTTCATTCGACCAGCACTCGTCGTCCCCCGCCAATGCAGGCGGCTTCGGCGCTTCCTCTTTGCATGATCGCGGTAGCGGTATGGGTGCAGGCTTCGGCGACTACGGTCGCTCAGCCTCTGGAGCTTCTCAGAACCCCAGCGCCACTGCCGGCGCTGCTGCATTCGGCGCCATTCCCGATACCATTACCCGACCAGGAAACTTCCACCAGAGCTCCTACGGACAGCAGGGTAGCCAAGGGTTCAACGATGACGCCCTGAAGCCCTCCAACGACTACAAGAGCGGTGGACCCAGCCCAGCGGCTCTTGGTGCTCAGCCTGGTCGCCCCGGCTCTGCCAACCAGAGCACTCCCGGACAGAGCGGTCCCCAACACTCCCAGCAAGGTTTCGGTAACTACCCAAGCCACCTCGGCAACAGCCAGTACGGCGGTCTCGGTGGTCTAGGTCACCAGAACTCCGGCAACCACCAGCAGCAGAGTGGCTACGGCAACTACGGCGGCTTTGGCGGAGGATATGGTGGCGGCAGCTACAACCGCGGAGGTTGGGGCGGAAACTACGGCCAGCACTAGGGCCCGTCTTATGCAAATACTGGACGATTGAGAGGCTTGACGTGTTGTTAAGAGGAATATGGCCTAGTCATATCATCATGATGAGCTGGTACGACACGAGGTCATTGTTTTCTTTCTCACGTCCACTTTGAGTTGGCTGATGGCACGAAAAGCATGTTTCCATGATACGCTTGATAGGCCTCAGATTTTGTATTATGACAATCTCCTTTCTTCTCCTCTTGTTCCTCTCCTGTTGCATCCTCTCTTTTTCCAAGGTTCCGTGTCACAAATCCAATTGGGTCAACTTACGTGCTCAGTCGCGAGGCGTTTTGTAAATCCGCAAGGGAGGGATAAACTCAAAAAGATTCTTGTTTTGTTCTGGATTTTGCTTGTAGTTGGCTTATTTCCCTTTTCTCCGGTACTTTGAGAAAGGGAAATCTACTGTATTAGGGTATGGTTAGGGAACTTAGGGGGCAAAGAGCAAATCTAGGTAGCTCGATGGCGTTCACAGTTGGGCTGCTACAGCTGAGCAATGCATATCGTTGAACATGACGCAAGACTGCGCTTCTCTTGACTTTGATGGTGACCTCACGTCGTGCTTGTCGTAGCTTAACGATACTTAGGTCGAATGCTTGGCACAGGGTCGGGCCTAGCAAATGCAGGTACGTACCGTTTCCTGGCCGCCGAGAAACCGGCGATCCTCCCTCCACTTTTTTTCTTTCAACATCTCCCGATGTTTGCTCGCGCATGCAACATTGACGCAAACTTGGAGACTTTGCAGGGCCTAAGCAAGGAAATTCTCTTCTCCTGACCATCGCGCGCGCTATGACACACTGCGCTCAGGCCAGGGCATGTATTCCGAGTCGTTTCCGAAAGGGCCGATAGAAAGCAGTTTATGCAAGTGATCGCGGGTCGGCCGGCCTTGGAACGGCGTGCGTTCACGTTATCAGGGTCTTGCGCGATAGCAGGCTTTTCTCATTCGATATGACGAGAGATTTTGCGGGATGTCGTTATGCGTTGTCTTTGTGTGTAGACGTCGCTGCTTGCATTACCAGACAAGACTACCTCGGTACCTGACTAAGATTAGAAATTGACGAAGAGCGCGATCAATAATCATATACAGCGATACAGGCACCGGCATATGTGTCAAATGTCAAATCAACGCTGCCGATATTGCTCACCGCCGCCAATATCAACGATAACGGTCTCGGAACGTGATCCATCTATCTACGCCCGGGCGCGCTACCGGCGCCATGATCCACGACTAAGCCGTTGCAAGGATAGCAATCTGGCATCTTACCCTTTCCGGCAAAGCTGCCTCGGCGAATGCGTCAAGGTCATCATGGTGCTGGCCGGAATTTATCTTTTGGCGAGTGCACGCGTCTGTTTTCAAGCGTCCAATTCGCAACACCTTGATGGTCTGTCGGGCACACAAGCAGAACCACGTTGCGTCTGCGTTGTGCGCTGATTGACTGCGTCTTTTCTTTTTGAGTCGAGTCTTTGTCGATTGTGGTGTGTCTTGTCGCGTTTAACTGGCTGAGGGTTTGGTCAGCTGGAGAGTTGTTGGCTGCAGCGATACACCGATCAAGTGCAGGAGCTGAGAAACGTTGACGACTGTACTTCAAGAAGGAAGAGCATACAGTATTTGGAGGCGACCCGACACGTTTTGCACCTTTTTCACTCTCCGTTCACATCGCGCCAAATCCAACAACTGGCAAACTTCCACCATGGAATCAACATCCTACCAAGCCGATGCTCTTCCAGCCTCGCCGTTACTTCGCCTTCCTTTCGAGATCCGTCTCATGATATACGAGTACCTACTTCTACCCTCGACGACCCCCACGACCGGAAATGGAACGTCAGTCGCGAACTTGATCCCCGATTTTCATACATACCTTTCAGATGACACGAACAATGATGCTTGTACATTAAGCGTCCGAACCATGGACCCATGGCTAGGGTCACAAGGCCCGAAGACGTGGAGACGAAGGAGTACATACCACATCAGAACCGGTACGTCTGCAGAATGACAGGCTTGGGGCAAACCTAGAGATGTGGCCTAGGATACTGCTTCCAAACGACGTTATTGACTACATACTGACAACCCCAAAGGTCCCTTCCTAACAACTACAACACCAACAACCTACCGCGTCCTCCTCTCGCCCTACACATCGCACCTCCGCTACACCGTCCCTTCCCTCTTATCCCTAAACCAGCAAATCCACGCCGAAGCCAGCAAAATCCTCTACTCAACATACACCTTCGCCTTCCACACCAGTATCGAAGCCGCCGTCCCCTTTCTCTCCGACCTGACACCCAGAAGCCGAGCGTCCATACGGCATATAAGCATAACGAAGAAGGCATTGCCATACAGCAAGGAATTCGACCGCGCAGAATGGGCAAGTCTGTGCGAATACCTCGCTACCCCGTCTTCTGCTGTAGGAGACGGTTCAGATGCAACCGTACCCCCAATCTCTCTCCGCACCCTCAACCTGAACGTAATCTCCGGCAAACCCGACCACGGCTGGGATGCCATCACCCCCATCACACCCTCCGACTTCGACACCATGCTCCGCATGAAGAACGAGTGGCTTGGTGGTAATGGCGACTTCGGCGGCGTGGACTTGGAATGGGTGGAGCAGGTCATGGCGATTAAAGGGTTGCAAGAGGTTAATGTGAAGGCGATGGTGGAGAGGTGTGCGAGTCCTGTGAGTGAGAAGCAGGCGTTTTGGATTGCGTTTAGTAAGAGTGTTGATGAGGGGGGGTTTGGGGCGTGGGTTAGGGGGAGGATGATCCGATGAGCATGATGGGTACGATGAGGACGTGTAGATTATGATCGAATTTGCGGGATAGAGTGAGTTCATGGATTGATTTCAGAATGTACAGTTTAACTACCTTCAATACTTACCCCATCCCACTCTTCCCTCACATATATCCACCATTCCCTCGTCACACCATCAACAAACCACACAGGACACATGGCCGATCGGTACAGCACCCGCAACACAAAAACCTAGCGAACGCACGCCTGACGTAGTTCCAGCACGGGGCTGGTTTCTAGCTCTGATCAAGCACCAGCTTTCTCGTCCCGGAGTAAAAGGGCCTACTGGGGCAACCTAGAGGTTCTGTCTCCATTGAATAACAACAAAGAAGGCTGGTTGTTGGGCGTGCGAGAAGCCTGGCGAGATTGGGGAAATGGGTCGCTACCGTTGGTAACTGAGCTTGCTAGGCTATTTCGTGATGCACATCCTGGTGGGTAAGGTGAGATGGCGGAAACGCTGGCTCGTTGGTCCTGCTGGGCGGTTGGTGGTGCGGGATGTGTAAGTTCGAGTCTTACTGTGTTCAGGTTGGGGTTCTTTTTGTTGGTTTCGATGGCGAAATGTAGGTGGCGGCGGTGTGATGGTGGGTATCAAGAGAGGCCAGCATATGTCTTGAGAATTAAGGTGCGCTGTGTACAGTAGAACATACAATTGAGTCATAAGACTGTTTATTACGATTTTGCAAAGTCACTACCTATCTCACCCGTCCACTGTCTTTCTAAAGGTACCCATCATTTCCGCAGTCTCTTATCAAAACCCACACAGGACACATGGCCTAATGGTAAGGCGCCCGCATACAGTAGCTACACGCCGCCCAGCAACCTCTAGCTACCCTCTAGTTCGTTGCCGGGCGCCCGGCAAGCACAGCTACATGCTCCAAGCTTTTCCAGCTTTAAGCTTATTGACTCAGCTTCGCTGGGTGGTTGTGATGCGGGACATGCAAGTTCGAGTCTTGCTGTGTCTATTCATTTTTACTCTTTTTGCAGAAGATGGGAATTGAGATAGTCGGGTGTGTATAGTTGTTGCGGAAGAGTGGCATGTGTCTCGAGGGTAAAGGTAGATCTTAGTGTTTTCAGGACCACTGACAGCGCTGGTTCACATAGTTCCATTCCATAGCGCTCATGATACCGTACCAATGTGCCACAGCGCTGAGAACAATAAAGACGTGGAATAGCTGGTGCGATGCACCCCAGATATCGTATCTCTTCGGTCTCCAAGATTCTGGGAAATGAGTCTGTCATACCAGTCAACGAGAGTTCGGTCTCGAGGAAGAGGACGTATCGATGAACATGCTAGCCTTACCGCGTAGAATCCAACTCCAATTAGTATGAGAATACCCTCGAGGTAGTAATAACGCAAACCAGTCTGTTTGTCAAGCTGTTCGTGCCCGAAGATTGACACGCCATGGAAGATCGGTGCAAACGCTGAAAATCCCGTTGCGATGAATGTTGATAAGCGTAAGGTCTTCCATCTTGGGCCGTGAAGACTGGGGTTGATGACCGTGGTCGCTGTCAGTGTTCCAAGCGTGACGATCTAGAAGAGTCAGTTCAGTCATACAACATCTCATCAACGCCGTTCTGTTAACATACCATTGACCAGTACAATTTCTGCAACCCGGGTTCGCAGTAGAATCCAAAGTAAATGCCAGGTATGAACGATCCTACAATCTGCCCTATGATTGCGACATAGTCCGCTTTCACCCATAGACTAGCATACCCCTCCGAATGACATATCAGCGTATGATACGCTGCCGAAGTACCAAAGCAGACTACGGAGGCGGTAAGGAAGATGCGGAAAACGAGTTGATCGGTCCATGTCGCTTGAGGAAATCGCGTATTGAAGTAGCGATCGAATGAGTAGCTGGCTAGGAGGACGAAGATGCCAGGGAGAAGGTGCGTGTAGATGTTTACGGTTTCGTTGTGCAGTTGGAGTAGGCTGCGGAGGCAGAGTGGGATAGATTTTGTGACAGGCCGGTAGCCTGTAAGGATAAAAGAGTTATGCGCGTACCAAGATGGCACCTCATGGCTATCCTGCAGTGTAAGTGAGGTGTCAGGTCGCGATGTTTCTTGAGGTTGGGAGTCGCTGGTGCCGCGAGTGGCCATTGCGCAAGTACTCAACGAATAACGGTGTTGTAGCGACAAGAAAAAAGACGTTGAAAAGAGAGGGGTTCGCGCGAAAATGGAATGAATTAGTATGGAAATTGAATCGGCGATAGAGATGCGAGGGTTCGGCAATTAAATCCGTCAATCATTGCGGTAGCATCACGTCGCTTGAGTCAGGGCGTTGGGTGGACGGTCCGTTTGGCACGGACATGTTGATCAGAAAACGGTGTATACACGCCTCTGCGACATCTATACTGAGTTGCTCATTTTCACAGAGTCAACAGTGGTGCGTCTTGGTGATGGCGATGTCGGCTGCGGAATCGCGCGGTTGTTGTGAGGGTTTAAAAGGAATGACGTCAGGACACACCGGTCAGTTGTCAGGCGTCGCCGCGACACGCGACGGTGTTTTTCTTTTACCACCACGGATGTAGCGAATAGCGACCAACAAGGCATGTACTATCGATTCACACCTCCTAAGGGACGAGGCATTTCTTCAAGTCTAGCGCCCCGATCATTACCCGCACGAGTGTCTTGCGTCGCAGGCGGCGTGATGAGTGTCAACCTCGGAAACGGCACGTAGACTACGAGTACATCGCCCTGTCGCCATTCTATCTGCTCTCAGCCACTCGTATCAATATGCCGACCACAACCTCTGTTCTGGTGTTGTCGGAGACAGGCAAGTTGCCCAGCAAAGAATGATGGACGTACGGAGCACAGCAGCCGACTGAGATGCAGTCTCTAGGCGAACCGGGGTATAGCCCCTGGCGGTTGTAGATGAAGAAGGCTTTTTGCCCAGGCGATGTATACCGGTATACATCCACGACGGCCAACGACACTATCCCTCACCAGTCAGCTCGTCATTTCAGCCGACGTCAACTGCGAGCCATCGCGCTGCCGCCACTCTCCCTTCCGTCAGGCCTCAATGCGCCCAAGACGGGGCTGCGGCGTTCGTAGCAGGCTGTTGTTTCGCAATTCAAATGCTTTCACGAGGCTAGCGCACCAGACGCATGCCACAGGAGCGTCAGTAACGCATCGCCAAATCGAGTGTGGCTTGAGTGTCTTTCCCTATGGAACCCCCACACTGCATATGATACGGCGAAGCCATGCGTCCGTTCACACCTAAGGTTTGCACCCCGGTTCCGCCTTGATACTGGATTCTAGTTGGCTGCTACAGCTCTCCTGCAGAATTCAACTTGGATGCGTGTTTGCAGTCCTCATATTCAACATATCGCTCGCAGCGTACATCTGGTTGGCTCGATTTGTATCTCACCGGCTCGCAATGGGCCTTGTCAGGATGTGCGATCTCTCCAGCTGCTTTCAGTTAGACGAAGAGGCGTCTGACTTGGCCATCATGTACTACCAGTAGTATATATATACGGACTCCGCAGTGCCGAACAAACGCTCTTGGGAAAACAAGAGCAGGTTGTCCTCGACTATATCTCAGTGGGGAGTATACCTGACTCTGGAAATTCCTTCTTTTCTACGCGCTGCGACATATATTACATCCTACTCCTACCAACGTATGTAGCTTTTCCCGGGCCTCTGACAGCTTCAACAACGGCTCCATAGACCATGGCGCCATACTAACGAGGCCGATCACGATTAGACCAGCTACCTAGGTACTGCATCGCATCGCATCACAATGCCATTCTCCACTAGCACCACAGTTGTCGAGCAAGTCGATCAGGAAAACGAGTCTTTCAAGCTACCTAGGAACGACTTGCGACCCCCTCAGCTAGTCAACGCTGATTCCACTCTACCTACACACGTCCTGCCGTCACGCAACCACACCGAGCCTCCCGCTTTCGGTATTCATCCTTCCCACGATCAAACAACAGTCTTGAGTACCAACAATAGCGTGACAACGCATGATCAGACGAATGCATGGTTCAGCCATGTGAAAGAGTACGCGCCCGTCGTTGGAGTCGTTGGCACTATCATTGGTGTTGTTGTCGCTATCGTCACTGTTGCTGTCAAGTAAGCCATTGATGAGAGCTGACCCGAGTCTCCGGGCTATAGACCATTTGTTCACTCTGAGATGGCACGTATAACAAAAGGCGAAGGCTGCTGGGCCTATCTATGAAGAGTGCTCACGCAATGGTACTGGCTAAATTGGTATCAAAGTGTAGCAGAGCAAGATCCACAATAAAAGTTGTGCAAAACAATGGAGAAACTTGAACACTTCCACACATACTATGAGTTATTCACAAGTACAGTGCGCCGGCTTCTGTTAAGAAAGATGCTTTGGAAAAGAGTTGTGTGTGATGAGGCTCTTTTTCGCAGGATCGACGCGCCCGGAACGTGACATGCCGGTGGCGTTTTTGGCTCCGGAATTGCGCGCTCGTATTTGGGGACTCCACAGCCTTGCCCCAATCAAACGCCTGCAAAGCCCGGACAGTTAGGCCGCTACAGAATGTACAGGTGTAGGAATATACTAAGTGTTCACAGGTCTATACGACTGAGCTATAACGAAGAAGGCTAAACGCCTTCAACCAGTCTTCTGCCTGACTTTCTTCCGCGCGCTGAGTATACGGATGTCTCAACACAACAAAGCCGGACCGCGAGACTAGAACTCTTGCCAGGTCTTTGGTGCATGTATAACAATCCGTCCTCCATTCTTTGGCGTACAATCTTGTCAATGTTCTTGCAACAAGATGAATGTGGAGCCAATTGTTATCTAGGGCAAAGAGTAAGATCGCTTCACTGCTGTGTAACGGAGGCGCCCGCTAACATAACCATCACCTGGATGTCGTTGCTGTTTGGCCAGCATGCTACCATTAACACGGTTAGGTCAGTTTCTCGTGATATTACCATCCATTGGCAGATGCTGCTGGTACACGTAGTCATAAGGACAGAACCGGCCCTTCTCAGTGTAATCCT